CAAGTATTAGGTCCTAATCCATTAAAAAAGAGGCCAGAAATGAATATCTGAATATTCAAGATATTATGTATAAGGCACATGGCAACAATGTTAATGTGAAATTAAGGACAATATTATTCATTCAGACTTGACTGTGGCAGAGACAGACTATCTAGAATTGCCTGAAAATTCTGAATGAGATCCTGATATTGCAAAATTTGATTCGTGAATATTAGGATTAAATAAAATAAGCACAAAAAAATTTAAGTATTCATTTTTGCAATTGAATTATTTGTATATTATTTTAAACTCGACAATATTTTAAGTTTCAGTAACCAAAAATTTACTAAATTTTTTTGCTGTTAATGGAAATGTGCAGAATTAGAAAAGATTTGCCAGCTGAGTGTGAATCATTTAGTTAGTGTTACTGTAGCAATGCATGATTTAAAAAAACAAATAAATCTGAATGTTTTCAGATTTTATATAATGCCCAAAGGAGCTTTTTTTTTATATTTTGTATGCTACATTTATTTATTAAATATATTCTTCGCATTTAAACTAAACTTCATTTCAACAGCAATATCACAAAATAATTTAAAAAGAGCATATCTTTAGAATTTCGGAAACACAGTCTTGCGCGCTGGAGATAAAAATGTCCCCCCCCCCGTACAGTGTTGCTGTTGCTCGATTTGAAATCATTTAGTTTTTGTTAATCAAAAATTCGTTAAAGTTTTACAAAATATGAAATATATATAATTAAATTCCAAATTTTGGCTTCCAGGTGCCCATATTCGATTGGAGGACTACATTATTTAAATTTTCGTGTCTCTAGGTACCATTGTTTTTTCACAGTGCAAGAAACATACATACCTTCATGCAGATTCTTTTTATTTAATTTTTTTAAATATAATGCAGAGCTCTAATATTTGGTGGCAACAATTTGAAAAGTGAAATGCCACAAAATGCCAAAAATTAATAGCCCTTCTGGGCTAAAAAAATGCGTAGAAAGAATATGTACGATCATCAAGGTTTTAAAAGGGGAAGATTACATTGAGAAACAAAAATTGTTTTCAGGTGAGTATTTCATTAGGTTACTTTGTAATTGCCTTTTTATGACTTATTTATTGATTTTCTTTCCTATTAGAGTCCTAGACCTGTTGTGTAAGAATCTCTTTTAACATGTTTGTATTCACTGCAAATAGTGATTCCAAGACATTAATATTGCATTCCTAGAATGATCAGGCAATCATCCTGACCTAAACCCAAAAACCATCGAGGTTTACTGAAGAAGCTTGTGACTTTAGAACAGGTACTTCGAGGCCATTCCTTCCCTTTCAGCTTTCCTCATCACCATAGTAATGATTTCTTCAGATGATGATCAAGTTTTCTAATTCGATAAAATTCTCTATGTGGTGATTAATAACTCATGTTACACATTTGAAGTAAAATTTATTTGAAATTAGACAAAAAAGCAGCCTTGGTTTGGCATAGATTTCGAATAAAATTGTATCAGTTTTAAGCACAATTGGACACAGGTTCCTCTTCCAAAACTTGCCAAACTAGGGTTGCTTTTCTGGCTAATTTTAAATTTTACACTGGATGTCCATGTCACTTGCGATTTAACAGACTATAATTAGTAAAAACTACAGAATGAAGCAAAAGCAATAAATGCAATTATATGGGGCATTGAATTTATATTAAAAAAATAGACTGTAAAAACATTAAAGGCATATACGAGAGAAAATATGGGTAAAGATGTAGCATGCAACCTACTGCTTTTATTTATTTATTTCTTAACCCTTTGATGTGTGCGATATTATTTTATAATTTTTTTTAACTAAAAACTTTATAAATTGAATATTATGATCCTAGACACAAATAATATATGAATTAAAAAAAATCTACTCTTGCCCATTGTTCTGTGGGTGGTAGTTGCACTGTGAAACAACCGCACGTCTAGGACTTTGAAACTTACTGATGTAGTAGGAAAAAAAAAAAACATTTTCCGCGCGCATTTCCAATAAATGACAAAATTTACGGATTTTAAAAAAATTTATGTAAGAATTGCATTACTATATATAATTTTTTTTACATTATTTTACAAAGTAAATCATCAGAAAAAATTAAAAAATAAACATTTATGTAATTTTTTCTATAGCAGTGAAAATATAAGTACCTACGTAATAAGACATTTGGATAAATGGATTAAAAAACTCAATAAAATAAAGACAAAAAAGAACTCTTTTTTTTTTTTTTTTTTTTTTTTTTGTGACGCTGTTCAAAGCATGTTTTGTCTCTTTGGTACATGCATAGACCCACATTGCATGTTTTGCACATACATCTTGTTCTACGAGGTTTCTTCCTTGTCCTACAAAATGTACACTGCCTTTATTTAAATTTCACTGGTATATGTCCAGCGTTATTTAGTTTCTTTTCATCTGGCACATGACATTTGTGGGGTTTTTTTTATGTTAATGGGGGGGGGGAGCTTGGTCTTTTTGGCTTTGTATGGATCGTTCATTTTGTTCAGAAAATATTTTAAATTTAAATAAAACTTTTACGCAATTTCTATTTTTAATTATAGCAAAGTATATTTCCATTAAATTTAAACCACATGAAATAATTTATAAAATCACAATACTAGCTTGGGGAGCAAGTGTGTTGATGTCAGAGAAAAGTATTTGGAAAAGAAAGACTTTTTTACTGGGAAGGTATATGTATTGTTTAGTAATAAAATAACTCTGTGGTTTCAAAGCCCTTTATCTATATCCGGGTAAAAAAAAAACATTCCTATTTAAAAGCAAGCAAATGCCAATGGTTTCAAGGCACGACCACCGAGCCTCTAGAGGATTGTAAGCATTGTAACACAATGCTCTAGTGGCGCGGTGGTCGCATCCTGAAACCACATGGCAAGTGCCATACATATAGAGGGTTTTTTTATATATGCAGTTTAATTACTGCAATTTTTTATTGATTTACGATAGAAATCATGATGTGCGATGACTAACTTTTGAAATTTAAAGTTGTTTACATTAATAAAAGGAAGTTATTTTGTCTCATCAAAAACGAATTTTAAAAGGCATCCGATCCGAAATATTAATATCTAAAACATATATGATTCTACAGTCATTTTGTGTTATATAGATGTAAAAGACCAGTAATCAATTCATTTTCACTCAAAAATTTTGGGAAAAAGAGGAGAAAAAAATTCGGAAAATGGTGGTTTCAAGGCGCGACCACCGCACGTCAAAGGGTTAAATGGCACTTCTAAAATACTATTTTTAAGTATTTTTAAATATTAAAATAGGTACAAATAATTAAAAATACTTAAGTGAAAAGGATTCCATTAATTAATTTAATAAACTATAATTAATTAATTTAACCCTTTCTGGAATGCTACCTTTTAAAGTCGAGTTTTGATTAAAAAAAAAAAAAAGGTAGGCAGTCTAATTAGGCCTAGAAGAGTACACAAGTAAAATTTTGTGAAGATAGCACTTATCGTTTTAATTCTGTGGGTGTGCCCAAAGTGGCACACTGATTGAATAGAGCTTCGAAAAGAGTGCTGAAATGAGCATTGTTGTCAATGAACTGACTAAGGAGATGCGGAGAAACAAAGAATACAGACTCTCAGTGGTCCTAGATTATCGGTGAGCACGGTCTGAACACACCTAGTGTTCGCCGTTTGATTTTAGGCAAGATTTGAAGGTAAAAATTTAAAACTAACATAGAATAAGGAAATTAGCATACAGCCAAAAAAATAACATAGAAATTTCTTTTCAAACAATTCCTTTTATACCCTAAAAAAAATCTAATATATTTCTTTGAAAAATGAGGGTCTTAAAAAAACTAAACATAGCTAAAATATATGGGCTGGTTTGTGTTGAGCTGCCATCTACTATAAATAAAGAAGGCTCAGAGTAAGTTATAAATCATTTTTCATTCAATTTTTCTGTATGTAAGGAAGGAAATTTTTAGGTGTGTCAGACCGAACACAGTGTGCCGCAAAGAGTTAACTAGTATATTACTATAGTTTAAAACACTGCCCAAGTGACCAACCAGACAAATCATACTAGAAGGACAAATCGTAGTGTTTGCAAAAAGTATAATTTGTGTATTGATGTCTATGTAGAAATATTCGACAAGCAACAGCCATTTGGTGGCCCCAGGCACATGGTACAAATTGACAAGTTACTTCTTAGCACATACCACTTAGAAATGAGCAAAGTATTTTGTCTTTGAACAATTCTGACACAGGAAAAAAAAAAAGACCTCATGAATCAAAGAAACCATGGTTAATATATAGAAGGACCCTGGTTATTTGGTTTAGCAAGTTGAAATGATAAACACAAAAAATCTAAAAATGGTAGATTGCATATTATTTTTAAAATATGCTTATTTATGAGACATACCTTGAAAGCAACATAGGAAATAATGTAATTATGCAGTTTCCAGTGTTTGAGTGTGAAGTCTAATTTTAAACTGAATAACATGTATATTTATCTATAATATTATATACCCGATGAAATAAAATCACTCATTCACTTAGAAGAATGTTATTACTATTAAGTTGTATATATAGTAGAAGGCTTCTAATTAAGTATTAATGGACAACCGTAAGACAATAATGAATGTACTTTCTCTTACCATAATTTTTTTAATAATTCCACAAAGTGTATTATATTATGTTCTAAATAAATTTATCATTGTGATGATGTTTGCTTTTTGATGTAAAAGAAACAGCTAAACTTCAAAAATGCATATTTTCCAAAAGGCTTCCCTCAATTTTAGTCATTAGTACAGATTTTATGAGCCACAATTAAGTGTTAATATATTGAGTTAAATTTTTCATGAGGAATAAATTACGAAATCGAAATAATAATACTAATAAATATAAAGCAAAATTGAAACAGGCTTCCAGTAAATAGCATAAGAAAATTCAAGTGTGCAAAAAGTATGTTTTGGTCTTCAAAATTCTTAATATGTAAATTGTGATTTCTGAAGGAGATAATAAATGCACTTACCCTTTTTATATGCACATGCTACAAAAAAAAAAAAAAAAAAAAAAAAAAAAAAAAAAAAAAAAGATTGAATGAATGAAATTAATAAAATGTAATAGCAAGAATTTAATAAAAATAATTACAGTTAAAAATAGTAATAATCTCCAAAAATATATACATGTACAAGTATATTAAGTGTTATTATTATTAATTGTAACACATATTGAGAATTTTTTATATATTATCTTCAACAGCAATCAAGAAAAAATAAATAAATGTATCTTTTCCCAGCATATTAAAAAAAAATTCCTTTAGCAAGAATTTAATAAAAATAATTACAGTTAAAAATAGTAATAATCTCCAAAAATATACACATGTACAAGTATATTAAGTGTTATTATTATTAATTGTAACACATATTGAGAATTTTTTATATATTATCTTCAACAGCAATCAAGAAAAAATAAATAAATGCATCTTTTCCCAGCATATTAAAAAAAAAAATTCCTTAATACTGAACTCAGGACTTGCTCAAACCCAACAAGTTAGAGGGTCAGAAGACAATTGTAGCTACATCATAAGTATATTCCAAAAATTCTTTAAGTAAAAATTAGGGGGTTTATCATGATAATGCATCTTCTCGTTTAGCAAGACACAGAGTTGAATTTCTAGAACAAAAACACATTAAAATGACAGAATATACACTATTCTCTTGATCTTGCTATGCATAATTTTAACTATTTTTTAATCTAACACAAAATTTATGTGGCAGTTGTTTTTATTCCAAAGATGAGACTGATGAGGCCATAAAAGCATGTTTTTCATCGGTTCCAGGAAATGGATCGCTTAAAGCATTTAATCTTTAAAAAATTCGCCTACAAATGTTTATATATGATGGAGGGAACTATTTTAAATGCTCTGGTAATCCATTTTTTAAATAATTATTACTTGTGTAATTGATACTAAGATAAGAAGTTCTGTTGTACACTATGGCTATCTTCAAACCAATTTCTGGCTCGCATTCTTAAAATTTTTCATCTAACATATACGTAAAATTCTACCATTTAAGAAGTATAGTATATATAGTATTCAAATTAGTGTAGTATGCAAATTCGAAAAAAAAATATGACACAGATGCACAATTTATTTGAGAAATCCGTAGAAAATCAAAGAACTTCAATTGAAAAATTTTAAAAAAAATTATTGAAAACCAACATACAATCATAAATATCTTGAGAAAATGAAATAAAAAATTTTTATATAAATTTCTATTCTAATATATTTTTTAAAAATATAGTTTTGAACTCGATACTGAATCATAACAAAAACTGATTTCTTTGTTTAAAATTTGGAAATCCACATATTTTTTGATTAGTTTTGGCATTATCAGATCTTTAATGATTATTACAAATACATTTTTTCCGTATCATCCGTGAACCGCAGGTTCCTTTCGAAGGGCGCCTGGACTGAAATGTCCTATCCCTATCGAAACTGAGTCACTTTTCGATCATTAACATCCTAAGTGCGTTCCGGCAGAGTGATGATCAAAGACATGTCCATAAGCAATGTGTATGACTTTGAGTCCAGTTGAACGATGAATTGATGACACATGCACTTGGGGAGAAGTATCTGGAGGCTAATTTTCCGTACGATTTGGTTAGTTTAATGGTGCCATTTAATTGCATCTAAAAAATTTCAGAGTGATTCTCGTATCTTGAGCAATTTAGAAAAAATGAATGAAAAATTATTTATTACAGTAATAAAAACACAGTCGTAGTAAAATTATTTGGAGGAAAATTCATCTGTTAGATGACTGTATCTTACCTTGGCAATAATGAGATCCTTGTTGATGAACTTTTTGCCGACAGATTTTGCACTGTGCAAACGAGCCATATGGAGAAAATCTATAATTTGGAAAAGGGAAAAAAATACAAAAAATAAAATTACCCAAGTCTTTTTTTGGAAAAGGCAGATACGAAATAATAATTAAACAAAACCATTCGATATGTTTGTAAATATTTTGTTTATTTTCTACTGTCAATGAACGAATACATGCAAACAACAAAACCAGTTTTTGCGCTCAATGATAAAATAATGTCACAGCAGAGAAACCAATATATCCGATGGTAGTAGTAGTATGAGGTATTAAAAAACGTCCAAGACATCTTACGCGATTTTCTATTGTTGTGTGTGATACATTTCAGATTTTTTAAATCTGTCCCACAGTTATATGATGATTGTATTCAATTATGGCTTTAATTTTGTCATCATCAACTTCAGAAGGTCGGCTAGAACGTTGGTCATCTTCAAGTGGAAAATGTCTAGAACCAATTTTGACACATGCGTTCTGTTAAGCAACCTACACTGTGGCGACATCGTTTGCAATATTGAAACGCTATCTATCAAACTTTTCGCACTGTGGTTCTCTTTTTGCTCAAGCGGCAACAGTAAAAGTGCTCGGAACTTAAGAATTTGTTTTCGAAAAAGAAACTCGATATCATTTTTTTACGCCTATTCTCTCATTAATAAATTTATTTATAGAACTATGTTCTTTACAGCATACTGTAAATACATTTGTCCTGAATAAGCAAACCTATAAACTGGTGCCCCGGACGTGGTTGACTGATTGCGATTAAATGTCTACAAATCAATAGACTAAAACAACATAAAAAAATCAGAATGCTGAAACAACATCGGAGACATTAACAATTGCCAGGGCAAGTCCTCCTTTTGGGAAACTCGATCCCAAAATATGATTTCTTCATATCAAAGAACAGTTCCGCAATGGTGGAATTACAGCCAATCAAACAAAATATGATTATGTACTCAGTTTGATCGCTGCAGGAAAATTGTTACAAGTCGCTAATATCCTCGTCAAACCATAAGACGATGGCAAATATCCGGCCATGAGAAAGAGGCTTAAAAATTTCTGCCATTCTGAATCGCAAAAGCTCAAGAAACTTCTGACTGAATTTGAATTGGGTGACCGGGAACCATCTCAGCTGCGAAATACGCAATTTGTCGACGAAGTAGATGCCGCATGAATTTTTGAAAACCTTATGGATGCAACGATTACCGCTTAATATGTGGAGCATTCTGTCTGTAAGCAGCGATGATTTGTCCAAACTATAGCTAATGGCTGATAAGATATGGGAATTAAGCAGTCAACCTCAGGTAGCTCGCATTGTTTCTACATCATCTGGTAACAATATCGTCCAAGATTTACAGAAACAGATATCAAACTTAGCACTGCAAAAATATAAACGTAGACATTCCCATTCTAGAAAGACGAAGATACAGATCGAATTCAAGGAATCATTCGAAAAATAACAGAGACCCAAATAACTGTTATTTTCACCAACGCTTTGGCTAGAGAGCTTACACTTGCACACCGCCATGCAAATATCGTGGATCGAAACAAGAATACTGAATTCCCGGCTTTCAAACTAAAACCAAAAGTCATGGAGTAGAGCTCAGTATATTCGTGACAACGCATCAGAAACTCATTTTTTTTTAATTGACACTAAAGCAGAAATGTGCGTTATCATACCATCTCCATCAAAAAAAAAGAAGTGTGTTTACGCTTGAGCTGTTTGCAGCAAACCGTGCACAGTCAAAACGTATGGTCAAAAACTGTTGGAACTGGATTTGGGGCTACAATGATCTTTCAAATGGACTTTAATAATTCCAGACGTCAATAAACCTATGTTGGAATAAACATTCTTTCTCATTTTAACTTATTAGTCGACAGTAAAAACAGGAAATTAATCGATGGTACTACTTCATTCACGACTATAGGTACTTTATGTAAGTATAGCGTCACTCCTAAATTCATAGCTAACAATTTTCAAAACCAATAGAAAGCCATTTTAAATAAAGATCCTCACTGAAACCCAACATAAAAAAAAAAAAAAAAAAAAAGAGAGAGAGAGAGAGAAACCAGAGAACAAAATATGCAGCATTTCATCGAAACCAAAGGAAATCCTATATTCTCTACAGTCAGAAAACTTTCTCAAAAAAAGTTGATTGCTGAGAAAAAGGAATTCGTTTATATGTTTCAAGAAGGTCTCTGCAGCTGGTCAAGTCCATTACATCTCACTTTAAAAAAAAAAAAAAAAACCAGTGGCTGAAGGCTATGCAGTGATTACTGTGCATTTACAGCAAACGCCTTACCATTACAATTATGTTCGTTTTATAATGGACCATATGATACCATTACGATAATAGTTTTATGATTTATTTTTGAAATGTGTAGTTTAAAAAATAATTTTTCGAAAACAATTTTGAATTATGATCGATAAAATGTTTACCATCATCTTAACGTAGATGTTCTAAGCATAACGGCAAAAAATTAAAATTTTTTATTTAAAATTTCCGACATACATAATTTATATACTGGCGCTTTTTTAAATTTGGCATATTTGTTGAAAGCCATAACAACATCAAATGTGGTTTAGGCACTTTGTTAAAATTATTTGAAAGGAGAACGATGTGACTTTTTTTCTGCTCATGCACAATGTAAAAAGGTAGGAACGATGTTACTCTTTTTTCTTTCGTTCAGAATGGGAGTGAAAGGAGAATGGGTTGCCATATATTAAGAAGTTCGCGAAGTGAATTATTCTTGGCGCAAACGGAAAAAAAAAAAGACGCCAAGATAAATTTGTGAATTTCTCTGAAAATTTCACACCAAATTTTAAAAAATTTAATATTTAGGCATAATTTGAATCCTACAATCAAAATATGGAAAAAAATTGGTATGTTGTTTTAGAAAAAGTCCAATTTTGTGTCAAAATACATATGTTAGAACAATGGGTACTTTCCCGTTTCGCCGGCGCAAATCTTTATTGGCGACAACATACAGTATACGCATAAAAAATATTAAAATAATTTTAGTTCTAAGAATTCATTTTTTGAAGGCATAAACATTTTAATATCGCTTAAAACTTTATAAAATGCCAATAAATAAAGACAATAAATTTGTAAAAAGACATTAATTTAAGAATTTATTATGTTTTCATGGTTCAACATCCTAATTCGCCGGTTCATATCACGTGACCCCAAGCGATCTCATCTCATGTATACTCTACAAAAATCTAATGCTCTCAGTAGTTATCTACATTAATTTTCAAGTTAAATCTTAATCTGGAACACAAGTTTAAATGCAAGAAATATTTCAATGCGTACGAATAGCTTACTCAAAAATTATATAAAACTGCAGTGCTTTAATTCACTAATGCATTCACATTAGAATTGATGAATTTAACCCATGACTTTCCTTTTATATATTTTCGGCTTCGCGTAAGGTCAATTACCGGCAGCCTTAGACATAAAAACTGAACTATCTGATAAAAATTCTATGTAATTATATGCCAGTATTGAAAGAATCAATCTGATAAGAAAAAGCTGCGACTTGTTTTGAAAATGAGGCGTAAAAGGTTACCAGCGAGAATATTCCGTTTGGCATCGGTTGTACCATTATTGGCGACTTTATCGCTTGCGTCGGCAAAACAGAAAAGTACCGAACAATGCTATATATAAATCTAACATATATCCTAAGTTGCACTTTCGAGATCTGAAAAACGCAGTTTGAATTTCGTCAATGGGCCCAGGAGATATAGAACTGCCCTTTTCTTTTTTCTTCCCCCTCCCCCCACAGTGTACAACATATGTGCTACTTATATATTTGCTTGTCACATCCACTTGCGTTATTCACTTATTTACGGTTCGCTTACAATTCACTTATGCATAATCTGCCTGATAACTGAAGGTGACGCTGAGAAATACAAATCCGTTGGTAGAATTGAAAATTTACATGTTCATTGAAACACATATGCAGTTCACTTATACACAGAGCATTTTATATCTGCTCGGCATTTTGTACCGGTTACTGGTACAGAACACTTGAAGAAGGGACTAGAAAAATATTAAGTTCATTAAACCACCATCTGACAGATCTATGCTGAGAGTTTTTTTTTTTTTTTCGGTTCATCTACGTATTTGCTTTTAGATTTTCGCAGTTCACTGCCAGGTGAGTGAGTTTAAGTTATGAGAGTTTTAAGTTTGTTTCGTAGTAGGAGTTCTTTTGAAGTTGTTTCAGCCATACCTGGGCATTTTCAGCTGTGCACGGCCGGAAATGTAGGTCTTTGGTGACTTCGCGCTCGAACATGTAGTGTTCAATGGTACCTGTTGAGCCACATATGCATGAATCTGTGTGGTGCAATCCGAAGCGAAACACATAGACTGCAAAAGGGGCACGCGCCGTCAGGAAATATGTCATTGCTCTACCTGTAACGGTTAATTCCCTTGAGAGCATCGGGAGGAACTTAAATGTCCTCCTGCCTGTTAGCCGTGACACACTACACCAATATGGACTCAAGCTATGCTCTCCAGAAAGAGAAACAAGCACCAGCCACCTAACGGCAACGTGATCTCAAAAACTGTACCTCATAATAACTCTCCTCCAAAAGGACTAGCTAAAACGCGAGCTATCAATTTATATTGTACCTACGCCTGCATCCACTGGTATTGTGTCACTGGTAAGTGTTCACATACTCCACAAGAGAAGAAGTGTATTGTCATCTTCAACTCATCAAACACCACCTTAAATAGGTAGCAGAATCTACACCACGTAGAACGGACCAATTTCACATGTGAACGGAAACGGCTGAACAGTGCATCAAATGCAATAATAAATCAAAGTACATGTTAAAGTAGTGCACCCATGGACTCTAAACTCTGAATATTGAAACTTGGACCAAATGGAAGACTACCTACTTAATTACCACACTACAACATTCAATACATAATTCAAATTAACACCCTAGGTATCATAAAGCATATTGTTACGGATTTGGCATTTAAATAGTTAATGTTAGGAGAGTTATAAATTAAATTGTTTATTCCT